ATTGGACTGATGAAGCCACTGTGTGGCGAAACGTTTCTTCAATAAAGATTCCCATGTGTTGCATAAGTGTCTCAATTCTTCAACTTGTCGGTTTTCAAACCATTCATCACATTCTCACTACTACTACTACTCTGCACCTCTCCTTCCGACAGTATTTAAGTCTCCGCACTGTCGCTTGATCTTCAGATAGTTCCTGACTATGGAACTGAACTTCTCCGGGCTGAGGGACTGACAACCTCAAATTCTACGTCTTCACATCTCTACTGTTCCTGCCTACTTTCTGTATTCGACTGAAGAAGCCTACTGTGTAGGCGAAACGGGTCGGAATAAAGTTGCCTAACTGTTGCCTATGTGTCTTACCTACCAACCTGTCGGTATTGTATACCATTTTGATGTTCATCTTGTCAGACACTGCAACACATGGCCTCTTGGTACAGAAAACACCTTGGACAACCCTTTCAAGTGAGAACTGTTGGATCTGAGAGGGACCTGACCTCTCAGTGGCTACATTCTCACTACTACTACTACTATGCACCTCTCCTTCCGACAGTATTTAAGTCTCCGCACTGTCGCTTGATCTTCAGATAGTTCCTGACTATGGAACTGAACTTCTCCAGGCTGAGGGACTGACATCAAATTCTACGACTTCAAAGGTGATGGACTGATTACATCGTCTTCACATCTCGACTGTTCCTGCCTACTTTCTGTATTCGACTGAAGAAGCCTACTGTGTAGGCGAAACGTTTCGGAATAAAGTTGCCTAACTGTTGCCTATGTGTCTTACCTACCAACCTGTCGGTATTGTATACCATTTTGATGTTCATACCTGACTGCTAATTAGTTTCTTACCTGTGACATTCCTGTCACTAGTCACGAGAGTTCTACTTCCCTCACCTTCAGTAGCCTGGCTGGGAACCAAGCTTAGTTGTTGACTGCTTGATCTACTACACTGTTGATACTAGTTGCCCGTGGACCCACACAAACCAGGCTGCAAAACCGATTAAAACCGGTCTTGTTTATACAACAGGTCACTGAAGACAGCGACTAGGTGACTGCACTCTAAAAATAGGACATGAATCCCTCGCTACCAAACACAATCCACCAGTTTTTCAACATACTGTTGATGCTAGTTGCCCGTAGACCCACATAAGCCAGGCTGCAAGCTTAGATCAAAATGTTTATACAACAGGTCACTGAAGAGAGACTAGATGACTGCAGCCTCAAAATAGGACACGAATCCCTTGCTACCAGACACAAGTCACCAGTTTTTCAACATCCTTATGTGGTAATTATACGGGCGTGCAGGTTAATATACATCGGCTAGAAAAGAAAATAGCAAATACTCAGATTTCCCATCCATGAAGGAAATTAGTGTGAAACTGTGAGAAAGATACACAAATTCAATATATTGCGATCCTTTATTGACTACGATTCTCCCCCCACAGTAGGCTTTATCAGGTTATAAACAGATCTGTTCTGTTTGTGATAAAGCCCACTGTATGGGCGAAATGTAATTACTAAAGGATTACATATACTGCATTTGTCTATTTTTCCATAGTGTGAAACCAGCTGACCTGACTGGAGAACGGGTTGGCTGGTCACAGACCGAAAACTCAGTGGTAAAGAAGCCACCGACTGGTCTCACCCATGGTGTGTATCCACTCCACTTAAGAAGTGCAGGTGTTATAACCCCTTCACAGTGCACCTTGAAGAGCAAGTGGAGAAAATCTTCAGGAGGTAAACATCCTTTAACTAAGTTACTGATAGGCGTTTTGTTCGGTTAAACGTTTGTGTATGTAATGGGTTAAACGCCTGTGTTAGCATTGAGTTAAACATCTTTTGTTTTTGTAATGGGCTATACGTCTGTTAGTTTTTAATGGGTTTAAAAGCAAGTATTAAATGGTAATGGGTTAAACTCGTGTTACATTGTAATGGGTTAAAAGCCCTTTGAAATGGGTTAAATTTTTAACGGGTTAAACTCTTGTGTTCGTACATAGTCAACCATCTTTCTGTGTAACGGAACCTCTTTGTGCTTGCAATTAGGAAAGCCCTATCGCTCATCGTATGCCAGTAATTAGGTGGCAACTCGTTAGGTGGATCATGGTCATGTCCGAGGTCAGTAGGTAAAGCGGCAATCACGTGTGAGGATAAGGAGAGTGAAGGGGGGTGGGTGACAGCTGTGGAATTTCTATATAGGAGGGTACTGAGGGATGGCACTCTGCTCGAAAGCTGGGGAGCTGGACCTGACGATCAATATTATAATAATATTTATAGTTTTATAATTAATATTTTATATTTTGTATTATTATTAGTAGTAGTAATTGGGGGGGGGGGGCTGACGGAGGCTGTGGGGAACTTCTGTCACTGGTCAGAGGGAGAACCAAGGGTAGAGGAGGCAGTAAAACAAACTCTTGAAAGGCTTTTAGTGGGTCAGCGCTTAGCTCTTAATAGGTACGCACGTACAAGAGCATGAGCACGTACGAGTCATTGTATACCCTCACTCGCTCTATAATTTAGGTTGTTTCTTGTGTTAATGAGAGGATGACTGCATGATAGGAAACCCATAGAAGGTGAACACATTTCTAATGTATTCTTTTATTATTCCACAGGTTGCTGAACCACCTCCAGCCTGGATCGGTCAAAAGAATCAACACAATGAAGGCTCCCTTCAAACAGGTGAGTAGAGGAAGGAATAGAGGAAGCAGGAGAAAGGGAAGAAGGTAGATATGAGGGGAAGGAGGTAGAGAAGAACGAAAGGAAGGAATAGCTGAAATATGCGACAGCAATACAAGAAATTAGAATTTAGAGTAGGGGACACAGTAGAATAATGATCTATCACGGTAAATTTAGGCATATGCAAAAAAATACTATTATAAATAGCTATATATTATTGAAAGAAACTGTTACAAGAGCATTCGTGTTTACTTCGGTTGTAGTATTGACTACCTTCTTTTGGATCCCATTTCAATGCTGTTTTACTAATCCACGTCTGTGCTGCCTCCTTTACTAATCATGTTCATTGGTTTATCCCCTTTGTATTCCTCTCAGTTTCCGAGATTTAAAGGGGATAAACCAATGAACATGATTAGTAAAGGAGGCAGCACAGACGTGGATTAGTAAAACAGCATTGAAATGGGATCCAAAAGAAGGTAGTCAATACTACAACCGAAGTAAACACGAATGCTCTTGTAACTGCTAACACTGTGGACGAGACACAAGGAGTAGAACTTTGCTTCTTAAGATACAGAGATTGAAAAGGGGACCCCACAAACATAGTTTTGCTCGTGTAGCTACAAGTAGATGAAACAAAAAGCACGAAAAGATAACATGCGTAGAGATCTAATGTACACTCTCTCTCACCTACACACGAGCCACGAACTTCTGCTTACACTTGCTCAAACACGCACACTCTTTGCCTCTTAGAGTTCGGTTTGTGTGGAAGCCAAATTATAATTAGTCAACTGATTCTCAGTTTACATAGAACAGGGTGACTCCACAACTGTGTATAACGGCTGCCTCGGTGTTCTGGGAAGATACCTCAGCAGTGCTTAGTATATGCAGTGTGGCACCCACATGACTGCTGTTTCAACTTCCCCTACTACCCCCCTCCACTTTCTAAAGCAGTGGACCTTGACACGGCTCCATAGTTTATAACCTTTCACAGTAAGGATGAGTCACCAATATAGATGCTAGTGAGGAAAAACAAACACGTTTCAGATCGAGCATTCATTGCGACATTTCGATCAGCAAGTACTTACGAATTTATGCCTTAAATGTTGCTTGACTTGACAAAGCTGTAAGCAGATCGAAACTCTGTCCTAAATGAAAACGTATTCTGCAGCTTGTGTGTTTTCTTTAATACTGAGTACGCCATCTGGATTCTAAGATGTGGGTGAATGTGCTCTCAAGGCCTTGTAAAGAATTATAAGAAGAAACTTTGAATTAATAATGGCATTGAGTGAGTGGAATGAAATAATTGAAATAGATGATAATTATCTTGATTAAGATTTGCATTGAACAAAACCCATGATTACTGAAGGACTCGTCCGACTCGTTGACTAAATGATGTCTGCAGTTTTCAAGGCTGAGGAGTCTCGATGCTGGTGATGGGAACTCTAGTACTCCAGTACTAGGCTGTGATGGATATATGGGCCACTTGGAGTATACCTGCACCAGCTATAGCAACAGCCTGTACGCCATGCTAAATGGCTGTTTACAAAGTTGCAACATCGGCCTGGTTGACCAGGCAAGCATTCCACGTATAAATCTGGACAAGGGTCGAGCTGCGGGAGTAGACGAGCTCTCGTGATTCGTAAAAGAATATCAGAGGAATGGAAGGCTTACCAGTTAAGGAAATAGAAGTATCCTTCCCGTTCTTAGATTAAACCAGCTTCTCTTCCATTTCCCAAGATTATTGATCCTTGTGGGTCTAGCGCATCCCCATGAGCATCATAATGATGATTAACAGTCGTAACAGTTCAGTAGAATCTCTGGTACCAGCTCCCGTCCTCCCCACCAACAAACACAGGGATGTTATGGAGTATTTCTTTAGCACCAGAGTTGTCAGGAAAAGTATGGACCTAATAGCGACCAGCGAAGAGGTACAGCCAGGAGCTGCGACCACAAATAGGCGAGTACACACACCTGCGCACACACTGGACCCTACCTACACCACACATGAACAATCTCTCACCCACTTTCCCCTTTACATATCGGTACGTAAACAGCTGCTGCTACACACGCTCACTCCAAGGCAGTCCGGACTAATTCTTAAACAAATGACTAATGTTACCAACAATTTTAACATCAGTCCACAGGTGATTAGAGATAGAGACGGAGGGTAGAGGGAGACAGGTAACTGGGTTTCTGCTACAGCTGATCATTTTCTTCCTCAGAGGGAAAACGTGGAGATGTTCCTCAAGGGCTGTGAAGCCTACGGTCTCAAGAGTCAAGACCTCTTCCAAGTGAATGACCTCTATGAGAACAGAAACCTCTACATGGTGAGTACCTCATTCTCATCTACAGAAGTTGAAAATAGGTTCTGAAATACTGTAAGTTTGATGATAAGTAAGCTAGTTTGAGAATTTCAAGGGTTAACTTTATTAGCCTCTTCACAAGTGACAGTTGATCTAAACTGCTAGTTAACTCAATGCAGAGATAAACAGAAGTACCCCCGTATCCGCAGATGATGCTTTCCAATACCTACCGCGGATGCCTTAAACCGCAGATAGTAGTGAACTCAACTTTGGTAAACGGTACTTTGTTTATCCTTTTGCTCTGAGAACCTCTCGACAAAGAACTCCCGGACATTTACATTAACGTTTCCCATCAACACGGGTATATTCATGTGCCTGATGGGAAGAAATAAAACGTGCTATCACAAATAAAAACACCAGAGATAGATTTTGAGCGCTGTCCCTCACACTAGTTCCCTCGAAGAGGTACATGTATTCGGAAAATGCTCGATATAATTCAAGTATTTCTCCTGTTAATTTTTTCTATGGTATCTTTTAAGGGAGGAGATATTGATCCAAAGAATTAGAGCTACCCTCTTTTTCATGTAGTAAAGATCGTGTTCGAGGAGCTTGCTGAATTATTAAGGATTACGGAGGCTTAGGCAGAAAAAAATTCAGATGTTTACACTGTGTTGGCAAATATAATGAGGGAATAACACACAACATGAAGTCCTTAGGTATAACAGGGAAAGTAGGCAAATGTATGTTCAGTTTTCTGACAGATGCAACTCAAACAATAGCAAAGAAAGCGATTTCTAGACTCAGTGTTGTAAAAATCTCGGTACCCCAAGGCACGGTTCTGGAGCCTTGACTGTTTTTAAGTAATAAAACACCGGGCATCCAATAGCAACAGCCTGGTTGAACAGGGACTGAAAACTGCAATGTTATTTATCGTGATGTGTCACAATGCACATCTTCAAGACGTTGTTTAGCTAAAAGTTGAAGCTCACTACGTCTTGGCATGACTTAACATTTTCGCCGAGGTGACGAAGAGCAAAACTCTTGGATTACTGTGACAGTCTGCAAGTGCGTATAAAATATGTAATGTAGAGCGAGCCTTTATTTTAGGTGTTTCAGGATTTAATTCAGCCTTAAAAAGTTATTTTAGGTACAGGTACACAAGTACAATTATCATACATGGTTTAATATATTAATGAAATCACGAAACAAGTGATTTTGAATCAACAGAACTGCGGCTTGGCCAGGACTCGATCCTGCGTTCCCATGCCTGGACCTGTGAGAAATGAACAAAGTATATGATAACTGCACTTAGGATAACCCAAATGTACCTAGGATACCCCGAAGAGTCAGTGGCTTACCTGGAGTTTACCTGGAGAGAGTTCCGGGGGTCAACGCCCCCGCGGCCCGGTCTGTGACCAGGCTTGTTACCATTGGGGTCTTTAGCAAAAAATAGTCTATAATTATTTCTCTAGGAAGTTGCTAGACTTGGTCTACGTACAGGAACAACTCTACTTGTATAGAAATCATGTCGAAAAATTATAAATATAGGCTATTTTGAAAGTAGATTACAGCTGTGGGACTCTGTTGTAAAAAAAAAAAAAAAAAAAAAATGGGCTTCTAGATAAACTACACATCCACCTCTAGTGTTCACTAGAGACCCAAAGTCTAGGAGAATAAATCTACTCCGGGGAGGAGTAATCAAGAGGTTTCTTCCCGGAAAACTTGAAGTTTCTTCCCAAAGGTGATTCACCATTTTCTTTCCCTGCCACACTTAGCATGTATTTATTTATGGTTTATTTAAGATATACTGGGTAATAAAAGACACATGTTTTTCTTTTTTTTTTTTTGCCCGGGGTGACGTGTTTACCCATCACCAAGGATGATTGTTAAACAATGGTTCTAGATAGTGTTGATGGTTCTAGATAGTGTTGATGGTTCTAGATAGTGTTGATGGTTCTAGATAGTGTTGATGGTTCTAGATAGTGTTGATGGTTCTAGATAGTGTTGATGGTTCTAGATAGTACTGATGGTTGTAGATGAGACATTCTTTACTCTCCCTTCCTCTTCCCTCCCTCCCTCCCTCTCTCTCTTTTCCCACTTCCATAATCTGTTACACTTCGTTAATAAATTAAAAAAAAATCTGCTTCTCTCTGCTGATTCTGTTTCCTACTCACCCTCTTCACCCCCCCTCCTCTCTCTCTCTCTCTCTCTCTCTCTCTCTCTCTCTCTCTCTCTCTCTCTCTCTCTCTCTCTCTCTCTCTCTCTCTCTCTCTCTCTCCTCCCCCCCCCCCCCTCCTCCTCTCTCTCCTCTCTCTCCCCCCCTCCCCCTCCCCTCGTGCATACCCACACAAGCACATGCAAGGTTTCACACTGCTAAAATAAACAAGCAGAGAGAAGCAGAGTCTCAGAGAGCAGTTCACGAGTTGTTTTACCAAATAATGATTACAAAGCGTACATCTCTTGTTTTTTTTTATTTTTTTGTAGCCTCGACCTTCAAGTAGGGGAGTGTATATCGCTATGGCTGTGTTAGTGTGTGTTACGGCGTGTGCCAGTTACTGCTTGCGTTAGTGTCACGTGAGTGCGCATGTACCTTAGAATTAAAGCATGAATGTGTGTGTATGTGTACTCAGTCGTGTTTGTGGGGTCGAGTCTCAGCTCCTGAGACTCGACCCTCACTGGCATTATTGGCTCCTGGTCTCGGGGGCCCTATTATAACTACTCTTGAAAATGGGTATTGTGTGTGTGTGTGTGTGTGTGTGTGTGTGTTTTATTTTCTGTGTGGTTTAATGTTATTTATTTGTAACTTAAAATAAATCTTGGGTTCGTTCTGAAATTGACACTGAAAGATTAAAATGAATGTACGTCGCTTCACCAGCTTCATTTTTTGAGTTAACACGTGCATAAATAAAAAAAAATAGCTAGGTAAATAAAACATACGCATTTCTCTTGGTATAAGAGACAGCTGGAGGCACAGTGATCCTCGCGCTGTGACTTTTTTTTTTTTTTTGTGACTTATTCTCGCATCTCCAGTGATAACTTCTGAAAGATTTTAACGTTTACTGGTGCCGCTGTGCCACCTCTTTACCAGACGTGTTGGTGCCGCTGTGCCACCTCTTTACCAGACGTGTTGGTGCCGCTGTGCCACCTCTTTACCAGACGTGTTGGTGCTGTGTCATTTAATTTGATTGTTTAGATGTTATTTTTTAAAGGTTTTTGATAACCCATTTAGCTAAGTTTACTTAGAATAAAGGTATTAGTTACTTTGTAATTAGTTCAGAAACTGACGTAGAATATTAAGAAAATGAACTTTAAAAATAACGGAAGATTATATATTTATATTTTGGATGATTATATATATATATATATATATATATATATATATATATATATATATATATATATATATATATATATATATATACACACACACGTGTAAGACATGTGTGTAATTTACTGGGCCAGTGGATAAGCCAGTGGAAGGGATCAGTCACACTACTAAAGGCAACATTCATCGGGTCATCATACGACTTAAGAGCCGCATCAGTAGAGATTTTCATATTTCTCCCGACTGCCAAAATATCTTCGTCCATCCATTAATATGACGGACAGATATTGGCAGCTCTTCCTGCCGAGACGATACCATCAATGTGTTCAGTTAGCTTTTCTTTTAAAGTTTGTGTACGTGCGTATGGAAGGAGATTCATCATCAATGATGAATGATTGATCATTCATTCAGTAGCTAAATGATCAGAGAAGTTACGTAAGTCACAGTACAGTAGCAGCACCTTGCTAATGTACCATATTTTAATTAAAAAAACTTGTACCATCTATATCATAACCCGTAGACCTCTCCCTCCACATAAACCTCTCCCTCCACATAAACTTATCCCTCCACATAAACTTATCCCTCCACATAAACCTCCCTCCACATAAACCTCTCCCTCCACATAAACCTCTCCCTCCACATAAACCTCTCCCTCCACATAAACCTCTCCCTCCACATAAACTTATCCCTCCACATAAACTTATCCCTCCACATAAACCTCTCCCTCCACATAAACCTCTCCCTCCACATAAACCTCTCCCTCCACATAAACCTCTCCCTCCACATAAACCTCTCCCTCCACATAAACTTTTCCCTCCACATAAACCTCTCCCTTCACATAAACCTCTCCCTTCACATAAACCTCTCCCTCCACATAAACCTCTCCCTCCACATAAACCTCTCCCTCCACATAAACCTCTCCCTCCACATAAACCTCTCCCTCCACATAAACCTCTCCCTTCACATAAACCTCTCTTCACATAAACTTCGGTATAAAACTCTTCCACTTCTCACAGGACTGCATAATCGACCATCCTGAGATGGCAGTTCCCCTGCAACAGTAACTCCAGCTTCCCTCAAGATACTGGTAAACGCCTCTAAATACAAATAGAACTGCACTATCCTCCCACTGGATCAAACCTGATTACTTCTCATTCCGCAGGCTCTGTTATGAGCTCTATGGGTTTAGTGCTCTCCCGTATTAACAACTCTTTCTTTGCAGAGCAAAATAGCAGACTTAGGCAACATCTGGGAATCTTTATTGTGGAAACGTTTGGCCACCTAGAGGCTTCTTCAGTCCAAAACAGAGATGAACGGTGGAAAATGAGAAGGGGAGTTTGAGGTAATCGGTCCCTCAGCTTGGGGTCGATTCATTCATTCCATTAATAAAGATTCCCAGATGGAATATGACATGGGACACCTAAGTAATCAATACATTATTAATATATAATACACACACTGATGAATGAGACACGTATGTAGCCTTTTGGTATCTTTTTTTTACCAGGACCTTTCGTCAACCAGTGGCTTTCCCGAAATTTCACTGGCTAGCGAGACTTCATTCAAGACTTAACTTTTGCTTCCACTGTCACTACCACAAACAGTAGGGTAGCAACATGCTCATGTAGCCAATTTTACTTATAAAAAAGGGTTCATTACCCTATGGCATAACTGTCCCTGCCTGATGGCGTGAGTGCCC